CCTCCACCGCGCCATACGGGAGAGTGACGCCGCGCAACAACCGTCCGACACCAGTAGTCCGAAACTGTCCACTGCTCCTAGTACGAGTACAGGATCCACAGTACTGCCATCATTAACCGCGAACCCCGGAACCTCCCTCGACCGGTACAACCGGCTTCCTTCTAGTCAGCAAATGTGGCAGACGCCGATAAACCAGTGGACATCCCAGGTTCAGAACAGCAGCAGTTCCTTCACGTGAACTTCCTGTGTTCTCCTTCTAAGATTGAGTCTTTAGTTTAATAAGTGCAATTTGTGCCCGTCCCACGAAATCTTACTTGCTAATTTGGACTGGTGGCAAGATTTCTTTCCAAATCAACCTACAGCGTCAAAACCATCATGCAAGGAACAATACAAGGAGGACGAGAGAGGAATAGACAATGTAAGAGAAGAAAGGATAACATCAAAGAATGGACAGGCATGAAACATGACAAATAAAATTACGTAAATGGAGAAGGATGTGCTGTATGGTGATGGAGAAACATTATACATTTATTCCATTGCAAAAGGGATGTAGGGAGACCCTAGCACACCAAGTCATTGAGGGAGTGACTATCCCAGACATTTCTACAATATGTACGTGTACTGAAAGTTTCAGTCAAAATAGTGTCATCAGTGCAGACTGTGTCATGTAGTGACAGTGTTTTATTCTGTCCAATGCTTTTATCCATTTTCGTAATAACTTATCTGTAATTGCATTTTTGTTGTAGATTTAAAGTATTTATTGTGAAGGGTTTTTAATGAATAAAGAAGTGAGTTTTGAAATTTTGTTAACTCTGTTGTCTTTTTAATCATACACTGTGTACTGTTACATTATGAAACATCAAATTAATACCTACAGTTACATTTTGTATTCATTTGGTACAGCCTTCCTTTAGTCTTTTGATATATTACCAATAATCCTGCCAAGTTTCTTTTCTCTCAGTCTATTCTGTTAATTAATGAACTGCCATTTAAGGCCACACCTATTTTGATTTGTTGAATCATATTGAAGCATTTTGGGCTATAATAGGATGCCTAGACCTGGGTTTTTTTCCCTTCAGATTTTTTCTGAAAAAAATCCGAGAACCAACAAATTAAATTGGTGTGGCCTTATCAAGATGCATGATGGAGGCATTTGTAGGATATTTATTATTTCTGTCACATCCCATGTTTTCTTTTGTTTTCTAGCATTGCAAGAACTTCCCGTGTCCAGAAAAGTACTCATGTCCTGACGACTAAATGAAAGGAAATGGAGTAAAGCTGTCGAAATCAGTGGAAGAACTTAGCCCAACTGTTCATTTAAGTTCATTTGAGCTAAGCTTATTAAACAGCTTTAGAGTTGCCGCCTGCACAACTTCCAGCTAAATCCATGGATGGCAGTTTTTGATGGTGAAACAGGGTTATAGCTGTTACTGAAAATATGATTTTGACACAATGCAGGACAAAAACCCCAGTGGAAGGTTAGCTCAACAGTACGTTTAAGTTCGGCAACTGTAAAGCATCAAATTGCTTTACAGTTGCCGACTGCCCAACATCAAGCCAAAGCTGTGGACGGCAGTTTTTGATGGTGAAACATGGTTATAGCTGTTGCTGAAAATTTGATTTTGACACAATGGTCAAAAACAACTTGCTGGACAAAAACACTTGGTCCAGTAGAAGAGTAGTTCAACTGTTCATTTAAGCTCATTTGAGCTAAACTGGTTGAAGATCACTTTTCACAAGAGTTACTATAAGAAACGTTTGACGGACAGTTTTGATGGTGAAACATCTTGTACACATTTGTAGCTGTAATAACTCGCATTTGATTCTGACACACAATGCAGGACAAAAACACTAAATATGTTGTCGGAAGTCTGAAAAAGTTTGATAATGTCACTCAGAAGTTCTATCAGCTCAGTAGCGACTGTCTTCAGAACAGCCCAGCACCAAGTCCGGACCAGTATAACCTGTTCACCCCCATTCTACCGTTGGCACATCCCATCCACAGACAGACATACTCCCAGTGGAAATATTCCATGTTTGTCAACACCATTTTCCGTAGGAAACGTGGACGGAACCTGTTCCTTCTCCCCATTGGTCCATTCCCCGAGTCCATAACTGAAACCGCGGTGGCTGGTCGCAGACTTTGGGACTTTCTTAAAGACTTTTCTTCGGCGTTCTTTCTCGGACTCGACGTACACATCCTACCAGAAGTTTCACTGGAAAACATTAACTGTACAAAACGGGTGCATAAAAAAACGAACCAGATGCAAGTTCTAGTTGGAGACCTTTTTCTTTACTTACAAAAGATGTGCCCTGCCGACGGTTATTCTGTTATCGGAGTGTCCTGGACGGACCTGTACCCGTCAGAAGACTTGAACTTCGTGCTCGGTGAAGCGTCATTTGTTCATGGCAGCGCGGTGATCAGCTTCGGACGGTTTGAACCCAAGCTGTACGAGGATGGCCTAAGAGTGAGGGAATGTGGGAGTGAGGGAGAAGATGAGAGAGCAGTCATGTTGCTGAAACTCATCAAGGTGGGGCATGTGTCGCTTTCAAATATTTCTTTATTGATAACTTGTATTAAAGGCATTCAATGCAGTTTTAGGGGGGCAAAACAAAAAGCATCTGTCCTTTTTTTGGTACCACCAATAAATAGCTAGAACCAGCCTATGATGCTAGTGTTTTTGCATTGTTTCTTCTACCATTAAAACACTCCAGGTCATGACTTGGATCATCTGTCACCATGGTAACTAGTAGCAGACACTGTTGTTAGATTGCATTATGTAGCAAGTGTTGTTAGAAGGGCTGGTCACCATATACATGTACATGTATATGAATGTGTTTGGAGTGTGAATGAATAGAGAATGAACAGAGTAGTAGTTTGTTAGGCTATACCATGTCAATGTTAAAATCCAAGATCTTTTGTTCATTCATATTGCTTTGCAAATATCACTTTCTAGTTTTATGATGTTTATTACGTTATTAGTATCTTATTGTTTACTTAATTATTTATACTTCATAAATGTAATAATGTAAGAACATGATGAAGGGGGGATATGGGTTTTCCACAATGGCTTTTCCCTTACTTTGCACGTTTATTTTTTTCATTATTCCTTCTTTTGTGAATTTTGCTTTTATTGTTGTTTATGTATGAGTGAATAAATAAAATTTAAATCATGTTTCTGTTACAGTCCCTGTGCCATGAGACCTGCCACCTGTTTGGGCTGTCCCACTGTGTCTTCTTCCAGTGCCTGATGAACGAGAGCTCCTCCATGGACCAGGCCTTCGGGCAGCCCCTGTTCCTCTGCCCCGTGTGCCTGAGAAAACTGCAGAAGATGTGCAAGTTTGACATCAGGGAGAGATACCTCACGTTGAGAGATATGCTGTTGAAATGTTGTGAGGAAGTGGAGTCTCGGTATTTTGTCAACTCTGCAAATTGGCTCGATAAGTGCTTGTCTTTTCTAGATAATCATGATGAGGCAGAAAGAAGCTGATTTTGGTGAAATTTTCCTTAACATAGTCAATTTAAGTCTATACAGTCAAATCTGTGCAAGTGACCAAGTATACACACCTGGCCAATGTGACCACACAGTAGATAATTTTTCTCTATAGATACAAGAGGGCCTGCAAGCTCTTTTTCGTAAGGTGTAATCAGGCCGTTTTAGACTTCGTAATTCGTAGGCAGCTTCCGCAAAATCAATGTAATTCGTAATTGGACATCAGCCGCAAATCGTAAAGTCATCAGCCGCAAATCGTAAAGTCGTAATCAGCTCTGAGACTTTAACATAATTCGTAATAGGCGGCGAAAATTTTGCGTAATTCGTAATCACTCCCCCTCCCCTTGCAGGCCCTCATACAGGCATTTAGGATCCTAACCACCTGCACACATACAAGATTAATTTTGATATAGCCGGGTGACGTTGACCAATCAGAAGGCTCCATTCCACATTCCTTATGTCGCCGTAATGTCACAAATAGAGTCAAAATCGGGTATTTATTCATCCCAATCCATACATTAAACAAACCCAATAATCACCCGCATACATGTATGACCTCAGGTGACCCAATAGAACACGGCTCTAGTTCTAAAAAATCCAAAAATAACTTGAGCTGTGTTCCAATGACTCCCATAAGAACACCTGTTCCCTGCCTGTGACCCAGTTAACGTGAACTCTACCCAGTGACCTCAGGTGACTCCATATGGAACTATGTTCTATGATCTTCTATGTTCTATTCAGCATGTGCAACGGGTAAATTGTACATTGTGTCACTTACTGCATCAGTTTGGATAGGCTATCGTGTAAGCTATATGATAATAGCGTTAATGGCCCACCCTTTCTCGGTGAATATGGTGTGATAAAGCCTTGTCAGTTGCTATAACCACCTCATAAAGCCACCTCGTTCGCTGCGCTCACTTGGTGGCTTTATTCTGTGGTTACAGCAACTGACAAGGCTTTATCACACCATATTCACCTCGGGGCGGGTCATTAACCCTTAATTAATCCCCTTCTTGGGTAGTTTTGACCGTATTTACGAATTGTCAGTCTATTTTTGAAGTGAGAAAAGTAAGGCTTCTTGTATCTTGTGGTAAGCAAGGTGTTTTCTTTAGACTTTCTATCGAGGTCCTATGGGCCTAAGTCAATATAGGCTATAGCAATTTTGTAAAACAGGCCATATTTTATTTAAGTTCAACTGTGTTGGTAGAAGTCATTATGAACGAGGTTGAACTGTAATTGCCAACATAAGGCCATGTTTTGTACTGTTTGTTCGACTTTTGAGGATCTATTAAAATTTCTGTGTTGCAAGTTTGCAGCTGTGTATGTGACATGTTATACTTGTCCTGATCACCGAACAATGAACAGTTTTGTTAGCTCAGTACACTCACTGCACGCTGTCACCACGCTACAGCAAACCAAACATGGCAGGTTTTATGAAGCACCCAGTCTTCAGATTTGGTGCTGGTGACACTAGCTAGATATACTAGTATATAATTAGGCCACACCAATCTGATTTGTTGGTTCTTGGATAATTTCAGACAAAATATGAAGCGACAGGGGGAATTTTTCTTTTTTTAAACACGCCTATGATAGCCCCAAAGACTGACAGGAGGCATGAAGTCAACATACCAGACTGGTTTGCAATTTAAACAATGGATTTCAAACTTCTGATCAAAACACTTTTGAACTGGGAAACTGTTACAGTAACAACTCTGAACTTTGGGGGCAAAATATGAGCATTTTGAAATTGATTCAGAGCCTGAAATTGTTTTTTTTTTTTGCAAATGAAGTGGGCACATCTGTGAATCAACAAATCAAATTGGTTATCTCCATGAAAAATTGAGGTATTGTTTTTGGTATGTCTGGGTGTGTTTCTGCAGCTCATACTAGGAAAATGAAACCTTAAATGATACCTGGACTTTCACATGATATACAATATACATGTATGTAACATTAACTTGAGTTGAGAAAACCACAAAGTGGAGTAGATTATGCTAATCACCTTTTGTCCGTTTACTATTCCATGGGGGTTCCAAATTCTTGTTGCCCAACTGAAAGACGTATAACATGTGGACTCCAGAGAAAAGTGTCCTGGGCTATCCTTGACACGGCACCCTGTTTACGTCTGTGACGCACTTAGGCCATGTTGATTTCATTATATGGATGACATCATCTGAGACCCCAAAACTGATGCGAGCGTGCGAATAAAAAAAGTTGCCTTCATTATGAAATCTAAGTGGTCATGAAGATTGAATAAATGACTAAACACATTGGCATGGTGAATAATAATAGACTCTTCATTTTCAATTTCCTTCACATTTTCTTCTTGTCCTTTGGAATGGATTTTGGTATTGTGAGACAAATGTAAGTATCGTTTTCCTTTTTTTAAATTTATTTTACAGCATTTATCTGCTCGTTTTGCAGCTGCTTTGTATGATTTTTTAAACGGACGAAAATCTATGCGAGCGCGGGTGTCATCCATAACTTTATAATCAAATCCACATATTTATATCCAAATTGTACACTCCAAGCAGATGGTTTGGCCTGTATTTTTTTTTTACCTTTTTAGCCTTTTAGGCGTATTTTCAGTTTACATACGAAAGAAAATTCGACAAAATAGAAAAGCCAACAAAACGTCTAAAAACTTTATAAAAACGTCAAAAGATATATAAATGGTTTATTTGCAAATTGACATAAAACTAAAACAACATTGCAGCCTAATAATACAATCCATTGTACAAAAGGCTGAATTACGTAGTTTTAGGGAACACACAAAATATCATTAATATTTACGAACATAGCCAAACTAAATGACAAGAATATTTTCGTTATTCGCCATATGGTTCGCCACACTCGGCAACTCGCCTGGTGGTTCCCATGGGAATAGATATCTAACCTCCACTCGGACATGTCGGAGAGTAACAATCTGATAGAATTTACCATGTATACACAATAGGGCCTTTACGATCCCTTTGTGTACATAACTACGGGTATAACGTTAGTTGTTGTGATACCTGAACTGCAACGGTTCCTCAACTCAAGTATTATATCGTTAATTCTTTATGAATGAATGAACTTTATTGCTCGACAGTTGTACATGGTACAATGTACACAATGACAATTGTGATTAATACAATAGGACTATTCTAAGAAACTATGACTATAGGAATATGAGCGTGCATGTATACGGCATATTTACATGATGTTGTGTTACGTTTTAAACATTTAAACTTATTATACTTTCCCTCTTTAGTAAGGCACTACATATCTTTTGTCCAGTTTAATACGAGAACTAGCCTTTTATAATAGCCTCCTGACTGTATAACACACTACACTGTCTAATAATCGCGTCCGGTTAATTAGGTTATGTCATCCAGCCAATAACTTAGCTTGAATCGGCCCAGTTAGCGGCGGGTTTTTTTCCAAACCCCACGGGACCCAGACTCCACCAGGAAGTGGTTAATGCGACGACAGACACAAGCCACGTACTGACATGGTCAAACAACGACCACAACAGTCAACAACATCAGACGTGATGTCCACAGGACCGGGAACGAGTCTCTATTTGTGACAACAGATCATAGATCATATAAACGACACGGAGGTTCTTAAGGGCAAATGTCACAGGAGACAAGCCCTTAAGCCTGTACGCATGGCTGAAGTTGTAGGGTAGCAGTCTGTGTAGTGCTGAATTGTGAGGTGAGTTTGGACTTTGAATCTACATACATTTGTAACATACCTAAAGAAGCCGTTTAGCTTAATAACTTGCATTACAGGTTAACGTTATTCTACTAAGTACTCCGAGCTCAAGTTATCCTGGTGCTCTGTCTATCGCGATTTGGGTGAGCTCTCTTCGGGGCTGCAGGAGCTCTTCGCCGCCAGACTCACTCAAATCCTACGGTCGCAAGTCACCCACCGGGCGGCCATTTGATGAGCTGGGCGGTGGTAAACTACTAACAGCTCCGAAGAGAGGTCGCCCTAACCACGGTACCAAGCTATCCAAGCTTTCAGTAGGCCTGCTACTACTAGTACTAGTACTAGTGCTAGCCGGGAAAACTGGGACAGTCCGGAAAATGTCCCTCCCTCCCAAGATGACAAGATGTGGTGAGAGATTAGGATAGCAAGCCTCGAGATCTGTCAGTATGAATTAGCGTATGTGTAGATGAGTCGTCGTTACACGGAGGTTGTAATGGACTACTATACCCTCCTTGGTGTTACTGATTTATTATACATACAAAATTCCTCTATTTCGATGTCTATATACCAGAGAGGTCACTGCATACTTCTGGAGTGAAATGTCGCTTGGTTATTTAGGCCATGGCTCAATGATTAACCGTTATGACCCATGGCAAGGGTGCCTATTTGATTATCAGGAAAGTCCGGACTGAGTCTAGATTGTTGCCAGTCAGTCCATGCTGTCGTAAAGCGGGGAATATGCCCGTGTGCCGTCCTTGGAAAGAAAATGAATAATATTGTAACAATAATCATTGTAATTATATGATTATGCGATAACCGCGGAAGGCCTTCCTACGGGAATATGGATCGTAACATTTGGCAAAAAGGAGAGTAAAAATTGGCCAGGCGAGTCAGTCCGCGGAAGGTTGGGTCTTTCCCACCAGTCAAACCCCAAGGCGACCAAACTCCCCTGGCCAATATTCTCCCTACATATAACCAGCGTAGATAGTCTGGTAGAAAGCTAGGACTTTCCCTCGCAATAGCACTGAGCGATAGGTCATATGGCTATCTGAGCTCGCTGGAACAGAACATTTCTTGTTGTCCTTTTAATATATATAGAAATGGACCTGGAAGTGTCCTATTTGAAGTTCTCAGCTGCAGGAGGTTTTGCCAAATGTTGCATGCTTTCACAGAATTAGAAAACTTGTGGAGAAGTGCCAAGTACAGTACGCTTTCTGTGTACAAATGTACGAGAAAACACCAAGTTCTTTGCAACGTTGTTCTGTAATTTTCCGCTGTTGCTCCCTACTATGATATCATTGTCTGAAACAACCACGGTCTAAATTTATCCAGTAGAATTGTCTTGGAGTATTGTTTTTCCTAGATGTCAAACCTTCATCAACGAACCAAGTCTAAATCTGGGGAAATTTATAGTCACGTATATATTATTTATCAAACCTGTCATGGAATCGAGTTGCCAGACTTACGAAGCTGACACTTGAAAAGTAAATTTATTATATTGTTAGTAAAATTAATTATTTACTTAGTGATGAATTCATAAAAGGAAACGGTGACAAATATGAAATAACTAATACGAGTGGGGTCGTGTGGGGTAGAGGCAGCGTGCTCGACTCGGAACCTTGAGGTCCCCGGTTCGAGTCCTGACATGCCACCGATCTTGTGCCCTTGGGAAAGGCACTTTACACGACTTTCCCGTGTATTGTCTTGTCCTGTATCCATCCTCTGTGTTGGTGGCGGCATAAAATAAGTTGATATAATATAACTTGAGTGTGCTGTCACCATGTCTAGTCATGAAATGTTGGATTATAAAAAAATACGATTTCTGCGTGCCGGTCTACCTTGTCACTGTATGCAGTCGAGCATGATGTTGTAATTTTCCATTATCTCACCGTTTGGTCATGACGTCATTATTTCAAAACGCCATTGACGGTTTCTTCTGGTGACGTCATGGGTAATTACCAATTACACTATCATGGATTGATCACGAGTTGATTTTTGGGAAATGAGAGATGAAAAAAAAAGGAAAAGTGTGATTATTTATGACACTATCACATTTTCACTTTCAATTTCTTGTGTTCCTGTTATAGCAAAATACGCCCTGGGATTTTCTTTCAATGAATGGTGTACAAGTATTTAGCGTCCATAGCGTGCCAAAAACTGGGTGGTTCAGTCTTCAGGATCTTTGGGAGCTTTTATGTGCTACTGGTATTTTCTCATTGCATATAGACAACATAGCCGGCCTGGTTGAATTACCCCCGTTTTCAGAACTGGGCTAATCAGAAAACAGCCGAAGACCACCAATCCCTCAGTTCTATAAGCCTGCTACGGAGGCTAACAAGTATTACAGTGTTGAAAAAAATCCTTCACTGCCTAACAAGTATTTGTTTGGGAAGCGAGTGTGGGAGCCCCGGCATACAAGTAGGATGGTACCCAGGCTATATAGAGGTTTTCGAGTGCACGAAATCCTAACTGAAGCACACGCGAAAGCTTGTATTATATGTTAACGTTACACACAAGTGAATAAACGGTACATTTACGCATGCTTCAAGGTGTGTGTGCAAAGAACTTCGTGGATTTTGTGAAGTAATTTGTTCAGACAACAGTTGAACCAAGGATGAACTGGTGACGCCGACACGCAAATAGGTTTCAGGTCACTGCTCAGGTATTCGGATCAAGTCCGGGGCACGTGCTTGTCTCTCATGCGTACCGTGACGGTGTATCTGTACTAATACTACAGACACTGTCAAATATTGTACAAAAGTTTGACTCAAACGCCTTTGAGACAATGTTTGGAGGACAAAATAGCTCTGCAAACGGAGTATGTTTCAATAGCTTAGTACAGGAGCTTCGAATTCAGTCAAGCACGAATTTTACGATCAGGGTGCGGCGGTTGTGACGCCCGGAGTTCGCGGGGAGTCCCCGTCGAAGGCGTCATTTTATGCAACCCGCCCGGTGAGAAAGGTACGCGTAGGGCCGGCCGTGGAAAAGTACTACATGTAATGTATATCGTGTGTTGACAACTTGGGAACCATCGTACGTAGACGCCTTGAAGTGAGGTCACACAGGACTAACAGGACCGTCTATGTAACGTAAGTCTATAGACATGTTTAATATTTCTAAATCCACAAATGGTCCCAACTTGTTGCGTGATCAGATCTAGTTCCACGTCATGGTCCATGGCTATACGTATACCGTGAGTTATGTCGTATAGTCTCCACCAGACTTCTTTTGCGGGGTGAATAAATCGTAGAAATCGGCCTAAAAAGGGTATTGATTGGCCAGAGAAGGTAGCCGGCAAGAGAAGCTCCATTTCCCCG